CACAGTGTCAGGAAAGCAACAGTTCTTGGAACTGAATATTTAAGAGTAATTTCTATACACATGTACCAAAAAATGTTACAATTGTGTCACGGATCTGTGGTGTATTAGTTCCGTCAATAAACGAGCCGTTGTTTACAACTCTACTGCTCAATGTTAGAGACAGAAGATAAGAAGCAGGATCTTTCTTTCCACAGCTCCGTGGGATCCCGCTAAATACATCCTCAGCAGTCTGTCCTTGTTTAACAGAGAGCTGTATTGAATCGTCGCCCCAAATACTCTGAACGTTACGAATGTCAACCTTTGGATTGTCTGGCGCAGGCAAACAGTCCGTCCTGATGTGTCAAGGGAATGTTGGCTTAGCGTAAAACATCATTCACTCTTTCGCCTTTGGTAACACCAGCTGGAAAATACCTATCCCAACACTGACAGATATTAACCCGTGGGGATAACCTGAAAAGAGTATGACTTCACGACCCGTTACTGTAGCAACGTGATGTGACTGGAAGGAGGATAGGTTCATCCGATGTTAGACATGGCTGATTGTGTTGTCTTATATAGTTACCGGATTCCTGGGAAGAATGAGTCTTCAGATTCATCGACTGTCACAATGCCCAAGCTGATGTGGATCAACATTAACCGTTGCTCATGTTATCAACCACTGGTTGTCTTGACCAATAAGCGATTTTATGCAACCCCCCGGGAGAAGTCTCTGTTACTCCTGATTGTTTTTTTCCAGCACTCCTCCTCCCACTCACCGCCTCACCATGAACTATTATATAAATATCATCTCACGGGTTATTTCAGAAAAACAACAACAAAACTTTCTCCTTCGATATCGACACATCTTGTGTATTCTGCATACTTATCGAGTTTCTTTCTTTCTTTCCCCTTCGTCAGTTTCTGATGAAGTTATATCATGGTGAGGAGATTATATTCTTCAGGTGAATTGCACTTAGGATATAGGTGTTGACCCAGAACGATGTTTAAATGTAACATAAGCTTTAATCCATATCTTACACTGGTCGTGAACGTGGTCTACTGGGTAGAGTGTATGCCAAGAGAGCAGGTTCGATTCCCAGCCACGTGTTACCAAAAAATCTCATTAAAAAGCGGTAATTTCTAAATTTGGGAATCGGGGTTAAGAGGTATATTTGAAGGACTTGTCGGATCTGATTCGGTATACTATGTCCAAGTTTGGATGTAGGGTGCCAATGGCAAGACGCGGCACCATAAACTTAGCCAAGACTATTATATGCGCCAGACGTAAAATTCTTTAACGGGACCTTAAACCTATCTCATTTCACCTCTCAGTGATTGAATGAACACAATTGCCATTGATTTCAACGTATTTATTCTGTAACTAAACAATAGCATTTTTGATAGTACAGCTTATGATATTCCATCAAAAAATATTCTGTGACCTACTAGTTTCTAAAGGCCTCAAAGACGTTTTTCAATGCCAATGTAACATTGTCTACTATGTTGGTTCATGCCCACAGTACCCGTGAAGATCCGGGTTAGAATATTGATCTTCAGTAACCCATGCTTGTCGTAAGAGGCGACTAACGGGATCGGGTGGTCAGGCTCGCTGACTTGGTTGACACATGTCATCGTATCCCAATTGCGCAGATCGATGCTCATGCTGTTGATCACTGGATTGTATGGTCCAGACTCGATTATTTACAGACCGCCGCCATATAGCTGGAATATTGCTGAGTGCGGCGTAAAACTAAACGCACTCACTCACCCAAGCCAACAGTTCCACTGGAAAGGTTTGAAGGGTTGACATCGCTCCTATTGAAGTCCCGGTTTCTATAGCACGCCATTACAGTATTACATGCTTAACGTTTTTCTGGTGATTAATATTTACTTTCTTCTCGAACCCACGTTCCTCCCATTGGGTCTTAAAATTTCAAGAATTCTCGAAATGTGAAACACTATCCCCATTTTAAGTGTTTGTATACTAGCAACCCCCATCGTTAGTTCTCAACATAGCATGTTTGTTTGGGAAATAAACCCACAAACATTTCTCCCTTCTCGGTTAAAACCGCCCGAGTTTTAGACGAGTGGTGTTCCAGCATATGCTTTGAGAGGGGATCACTCGACTTTCGGAGGATTAAGTTGCAAAAACAAGCTAAATTTGTGTCGCCCTGAGTTTGTTACGTCATATCTTCACGGTCGTTGCTGTAGTGCTGTTGTTCTCAGTGCTGAAGTTGATGCTGAAGTTGATGCTGAAGTTGATGCTGATGCGGATGACGTTAATCAAGACGAAACACAATTTATCCCTCGTAGTTGTTCTGTGGGAATACGGGGCAGAATAGCTACCCCCGACCCAACGTTACAAGGACCCGGAAGTCACAGTGTATCACATGTGACATGTCGTGTTCAGATGTTTTGGATCGTTGCTCGCGTTATTGATCACTGGTTTACCATCTATTATTTACCCTCCATATGCATATTGCTGTCTTTCTGCTCTAATGTTCTCTGAGTAAATCACTGAAGTTAAGAAATATTGAAGTTCACAAGGCGATGATGTTCTTTGTCATGTGGTGATTCAACGGTGCCCGTTCTCAACGGGTCAGTTCATAGAACAAATGTTCCTTGGTCCTGTGTACTGACCTTGACATTCACTCGGTTTGTTCCCGTTGGGCTGGACCCACTCTTTTCACCGTGTGTTGTTGTTCTGTTATTCGTGAGTGGAAGTTATATGAAAGTGACTACATGTATATCAATGTACTTAAACCAGATTATATAAGGCATTCGAGTTGGAATAGGCCCAAGACATTTCATTTTGGCAATGGAAAGGGGAATGGGTACAACTGGCAGACGGCCATGGGGTGTATTGAGGGTTCACGTGGTGTTGAAGATTATTGCATATACACAACGACGTGCATGTCTCCGGCTAGCCGCTTGTCCACTGCTTCTGTTCACTCAGCAGAAAATGGGTACCCGGTGTGAAAAGTCATATGACTTCCAACCTTCTAGCGCTTAATATTTGACACAGATGCATACCTTCCTCTTTACATATCCACACATCGATGAGGCTTAAAATCGATACCTATACCTTCTATAATAACAATTAACAATTACATTAACAATTACTACTAGACTTACGGAGGTGACACATATATTATTGAGCTTTGACCACTAGGCTACCCCACCGCCCCAACATTATTTAAAATATCGCGCTAAACACCAGCATTATTGAGACTAACGGGGTAGACGTACACGGTGAGGTGAGGTGAACTTGGGTTTTACGTCGTGCTTGAGAATATTTCGCTCATATGACGACGTGCATGCATGTGTATGTGTATGTGCAGCTGCTTGTACTAGCCCAGACTTAAGCTGGTTTTATAGTGCTAGCCCACTGAGATACAATACCGCAGTGAAGCATGAATACCCCACACAGACACATTATACTGACTCCGAGCCGACCAGTCCTTGTTGTACCCATTAAATGCCGAGCGCCAGGCAGGGACCAAGTAAGACGTACAAGGGAAAAGGAAGCATTACTGACATACACGCTGAAAGACTAACGGATTCGGTGATTACACTAACGTTATTCAGACTAACACAGGGAGACTAATTAGAATTATACAGACTAACGGAAGAATACCACCCTGATAAACAACATCATTATCCTGACAAACGGGGAAAAATAAAATTACCAGACTAAAACGGTTAAACTGATATTTCCAGACTAAAACGGTAAAAATAATAATATTCAGACTGACGTGCGCAGGATTACTCCTTAGTGATAAGTGAGTGAGTGAGTTTAGTTTTACGCGGCTTTTAGCAATATTTCAGCAATATCACGGCGGGCGACACCAGAATGGGTCTTCACACATTGTACTCATGTGGGGAATCGAAACCGGGTCTTCAGCGTGACGAGCAAACGCATTAACCACTTGGCTACCCCGTCCCCTTAGTGATCAGGCTGGGCCATATCTTTCCAAATGGACGATGTCCATTTAATCAGATAAATTCAATCGTACCATTTCAATGAAGTATCAAAGCAGAGAGAAACTCACTCTGATTAAAATATCATTACATATATGGTAAGGTTCCTCATTGTGCAGCAATGCATTCGTGCTTGTTTTCATATTTAACATTTTTATTGACACGTTTTAATGGACGCGAAGAACTTCCTGGTTTTCCGCCCTCCCTAATAATTAACATTTTCCAACCCCACCCCCGCATTATGGAACGTCGAAGATGACCTTGCCTTGTCGAGGTCATTACACCAGAAGCATAACCAGAGGTTTGGGCATGTTTTTTCAAATATTTTAAATTTATGTAAGCTGTCTTCTTTCAGAAAACACGTTGTTTATCAGCCTGTGCTGACTCTCTTAATTATATTCTGTATTTCATGTAGGGATGTTTTTTTGCCGTGTCGACTTAAAACGTTATAATAACACGAACTGCTCCGGTTGAGTCTCGCCATGGGGTGCAACACAGCCATAGATAAATTGCTTCATGCCACATTTGTAAGAGCATCTGTGCTATCTCCCAGAGAACAGTTAACGTTCAGAGGGTTACAGATCTTTACACGTGAGTCTGAGGGTGAAATAAGTGTTCCGCCAAACCGTCTTGTAGGACGTGGGTGCATAGCTCAACATGCGCTACAGATTTGATTGCGTGTTTGTGGGTTGTTAGCAAAGTGGAAACATTGTCTTTAAATCAAAATCACCTGCTAGGCATTTCTGATTTGAACTTAATTGGGCTTAAATCAGCAGAAACACGGAGAACACCCGTGCTTCAATTTGAATAGAATTTTACTTTTCAGGTACTCAAAGCACTTGTTCACTAGGAACTTATTGTATTGTGGTGTGTCTTTAACATTATACAGCGGTCATCATCATCATCATCATCATCATCATCATCATCGGCAGCACTAGCAGCATTGTAATTTTCCCCGCGTCAGCTATCAAAAGCTTTAGATGTAGAAGCTTTTCAACGGTTAAGGTAATTGTGTGGAAATGAAAAAATACAATGAGATAGAAAATTAACTGTCCTTTAATTTCCTTATAAGAAAGACTTTGTACATCCACATTAGCACGAGACACTCTGTCAATCTTCGTCATATAGAGTTCATAAGAAGCACAAAGCGCAGTTATCTCCCCTTGAATATCTTCACACTAAAGTTGTCTGAAATATCATGATATGGAAGGCAGCACTATCTGCACACAGATGAAAGCGATAGATTGTATATTTGTGAGATATTTGTACATTAAGATATCTATGTAAAATTGGTGGACAACTGACAGTGAGCGCTGGAGGTCAAATCGAGGGGAGATAACTCGCATGACAGGTATGTTTTCATTCACGAGTGAACAAGCATGTCAGTTTATATAATCCCTGCTAAAGAGTAAAAGAAAGCATCGGAAAGCAGCAGATATCCGTATGAACGCACCATCTGACAGATTCAACATCAACAACGACATATTTCTGTTGACAGGTGTGAATTTGGCAGATGGTCGTTTCGTAGTTTAATACCAACCACCCTTCTGTGACCTTGTAAGCACTAGGCATAAACGTTTTCATAAACCCAGAACCAAACGTAGGACCTAAACAATTCGTAAATTGTTATAACTTTTATAAAGTATATACTATGAACCGTAACCAACAGAAACATTTCCCTGTGAAGAAAGCATTCGGTATGAAAATATAAAGCGTACAACTGCAAACCCAGCGCGTTTAAAATTCAATCCTCATAACCCCTTCCAAAATACATTTCCCCTCCGGTGACGAATTTCAGCAATATCAGCAATTTCAGAACCTATCCACATTCAAAAAAACATATCCTGACAATATAGTAAAGTAGGTGATTTTGTCTTAACGTAATCAATAAGTTTTTAAATCGTTAGTATTTTCATAACATGCAGAGATACATTAGCTTAAAAATAAATACAAATTAAGAAAGAAATTGCGCTGGTATATTTCGAACTACTAGAATCGCTCATCCAAGCAGCTGTGATATTACGCCAATTCCTACAGTGGCACTGTACTTCACTCGAGATGTTAAGATGCTAAAGCTCCAAATTCCAACTTTCAATGCTACCGGATCCTCTCACTGACACCTTGCCGAAACCTACCTTTAACATAACATTCACATATGGTAATCATAGATATGCTTCAGCCACAGTGTTAAAATCACTTCACGGAACGAGGCCCTGAAAAACACATTCCGCGAAGTAAATGGCATACCAAATCGCAAATGTTATGAAACGTGGATACTATTTTATCTGATTTTAATAAACGGCTAAAGAAAGGCCAGTTTGTGTTGGTGAAAATAGCGTTTTCAGCACGTGCCTCTGTAGTTTTATGCGCGAGCTGTTGACATGGATTGTTTTAGGGGGAGATAGAGACACCAGACGTTACAAGAAGACGGGACACCATTTAACAAGCAAATTACGTCATAAAAAATCAACTTCTCTTTGCTCAAGGCAAATAATCTGAATATTAGAAAACAGTACACCAACAAATATAACATAGTACTTTTTACAGCCAGGTACGAATACACTGTTGAAAACAAACGCTCTCTCGATCTCGACCAGGGCGCGAATGTTTCGCGTCACGGTCGCGAACGTGGGAACGTTTGCGGTTGTACTTCCAGCCATTACAAAAATCCCAAGTTGCAACCGAGGCGCGAAAATGACGCGATTCAGTCGCGATCAACTGGGCTTTTGTTTTGAACAGTATGTGCATGTAGATAACATATTGTTGTAGTTGTAGGTCCCTTAATTCATTGTTGAGCTAATGTTAAATGTGTATGGAGAAGAAATGGGAGTTTTACGAGGGGGTGTCAATGTAATTAAATCTACAAAAATAACCTTTAGACATATGACTCACATTTGGTTCTCTTGTACTTCGGCCATTTACAGTCCTCTACCCAATCTAGAAACTGCCATATGCAAATATCGTGTTGTAAATTGTTATTCCAATAACTTTCACGACAATACATTAACACCTTAAGTGTCACAACCATTGTTTGCAAAACTATCAATCTTGTGCAGAGACTACCGAAACGGAGCGCAAGCGAATCAAACAATTATTTTTTCCTATTTCAGCTTGCTTTGAAAGATGTTAAAATGTTCAACTGAGGGATACTCGTGGTTATTGATTGTGTGTACTTAAAAGTTGAGTATTGCTTAATACAAAATAACGACTATCCCTAAGATGTGATATTTTCTGTTCACAAATGTAATATCTTTTAATAACAGTTGTTTATTCGTGTGCGCTCCGTTTCTTTGAAATGATTCTACCTAACTATGCGAGTGTATTCAGATCAGATTGTTTCCGTCCCCTTGTCATAATCATAATACTCAAGAGCCAAATATACATACAGATCGAAGGTCAAACCAGGACTAAAGCCTGAGGCAAATCTACCTGTTGTCTCACCAAAGGCGAGATGTCGTGTCATGTGAAAGGTGTCGCTCAAAAAGTCACCTTGACCCTAGCTGGTCATTTAAAAGAGTTCAGGTCAAGGTCAGGTCAATATGACAGTCAAGGTGACCTAAATGTCGCCATTTAGTCCAATGATGTTATTTCAACATAAAGAACTGACATCAATACAATTAAAGACGATGTAGGGTCTCGGATTCCATGAGGGAACCTCCTGATTCTGTCATAACTGTTCAGATTCTGTCTTTAGAAAGCAACAGATTTCAATAATAACAATATGAGCACTGTCTCTCTCTTATCCGTGAATACGAACAATGTCCCATGTTATGAAATCCTAAAAAAAGCCTACGGGACATTGTCATTTTCCTTAGACAAACCGAGTCACGTGTGCTCACAACCGTACCCGTTACCCGTAACCACGTGACAAACATCACGTGATAAATTGGGGCGGGTCAACATTTGAAATGGTCCGCCCAAGTTCATCCAAGAAGTCACCTCGAAGCACTCAATCAGCAACCTTCCGTGTCATTATGCACGCAATGCTTGTTGAGGTCTCAAACAAAACGAAGTTGAATTGATGAAGTTCCTCACCTTCGCACAATATATCCACCATATGACCACGGCAGTGAGAGGACGCCATAGTTCCTTTTCCTTTCGACATCCTCCTTCTCCTCACGTGCACAACATGTCCTCTGGGTATATATGCACGTGCAGATCCCGTCCCACATTCCATCACTACAAACACACTCCTCAGTGGACTTAGAGAAATTATATGAAGACTGGTCGGTCAGTTTCTTGATTTACAGCAAATTAAATAAGACAGGATGCACGAAAATCACGTGGTTGGAAGAGCAAGGATCGGGAGGGAATCAGACGACACCATATCACGTGAGCCAAGTGGCGGGAAATTTATTGGTGAAAATATGGCCGCTCTTGATTGTATGGCGTTTTCAGTCCACTACGATCACCGTTCCTCACAAAACATGCAACCGATTTGCAGCCTTAAGTATAAAGGGAGGGGACCGAGAGGGGAGGGACTTATATGAGGAAAATTCTGTTACAGCAGCAAGCGTTCCCCAACCGTGGCGAGATTGAAGCTGCAATTACCACACTTCAAAAGAAGGCCCCAACATCCATGATCCGTCGCAATAAAGATACCCATCACAAAGACATTCAGCTCGGAGTCTTCTAGTGACGGCCCGCCATCCATCAGTTGTAGGTTTTCGCCAGAAGATGGCAGCCCGGTCTGGTCCAGCTTGTTGCCAGGGACAACAGACCGACTGGCAAAAGACAGCAAAGGAGCGAGTGAGGCGAATGACAGGCTACGGCGCCACAATTGATGCCAACCAATAGTCGTCTGCGTTTTCCGTTCGGTCACCTGGAAAGAGATTCAAAACATATAACAGTCGAAACGCTTTGAAGTCGTAAATGAGGGGTCGTTACTGGGCGTTTGCAAGAAGCGTGTGATTGGTTGGAAGTCAAGGTAGCACCACATGGTGTATGTTTCAATATGAGCTTTGATTTGGGTACAAAGAATCCCAAGCAACTAGAAGGGATAATCACGCTTTCAGACATTGTTTTGTCTACTCCAAGGGTAGCTTGACCACTAAATCCCAGATTGGAGCCATCAGGACCACGCCAAATTGTTTGTGTTCGGATCATGTATCCGGAATGAACTTCTAAAGAGGTTCTTACAAAACCAGACGATAAATAAAGCTTGTTGACCATGATTACAGTTTTTAATTTACATCCAATGGCAAATTATATGACTTGTTCAAACCAACCACGCCATCGCCCTGAGATGAAACGCCATTATATTATATTCATCATACAGATCTTTTAAGCTTCACAAGCAATTGGTCATTGGGCATACACCCAGGATACGAAACGCAAAGGGGTTCTAATTCCTAAATTAAACAGTTTAACTTTAGCTAAGAACAGGGAATTGTATCGGGTTTCTGATTCATCTGCAGACAAAACAAAAATGCAGTGACATAGGATATCTCCGTGTCTCACACCACACCCTATACAAACGTACCCCGACACCGCCTTACCAATTACATTTGTTGAGCAACAGTGCTGGTAAAGAATCACAAAAGAAACCACACGTAGTGACTCCTAATAACCGAAGCTACTTGCGCGTAACTTGTTAAACACAAGGAACCTCCATGATTAACAAGGTCATATCAGCTTTGGAAACTGGGGTGAGCACGTGCATCACGTGGGAATAATTACAGGTGGATATCTAATTAACTGGGTATGACGTCATCTGTAACTACCTGAGCTCCTTACAGGGTCTAAATAGCTGTTGAATAGGAAGAACTTATATATTCTTAGCAATAGGGTAAAAAATAATATAATTCTTTATTCTCATTAATATGTCTGGGTGACTAGTGTGCTATATATAGATGCTGCAGGCGCACCTTCGCTTACTGTAGTAATTAATGCACTTGCGTCTTCAAAATTTAGTGAGTGAGTGAGTTTAGTTTTACGCCGCTTTTAGCAATATTCCAGCAATATAACGGCGGGGGACATTAGAAATGGGCTTCACACATTGTACCCATGCGGGAAATCGAACCCGGGTCTTCGGCGTGACTAGCAAACGCTTTAACCACTAGCTACCCGACCGCCCCCGTGTTCAAAAGATACAGATACCCAAAATAGTTTTTGAACGTTTATTAAGCGCAACATTTCAATAGCCTTGTCGTATGTGAGTGAACGGGTCCCAGTTTGGTGTGAGAATTCGTAACTTTAAGGATGAGACAGACACAAACATAATTTTAAAAGAATCTCACTATCTGTCTGCCTCGCTGATCTTTGTGAAAACCCAGTTCGCCGTTCGGTCTTTACGGATATTATGACGTCATGTTGTTTTATGTGACATCACCTTCTAATGATGGTTACAACATATGTTATAGATATATAAATAAGCTACACGTGTTAACAGCGGGGTGTACTAAATGTCATAGACTAGAATGTTCATGTACACGGCTGTAATAGTATCAGGGGGTATAAACCCTTTCAGAAAGTAGAAACCCGCACATTCCGCTATTTAAGCCTTATATGCACTAGGGCTGCGCAATATAACCGGTTTACCGGTATTTACCAGTTCAGACATGAAAACGATACGTATTGCGATACACTGATCGAAAACCGGTATTTTGACATGCATTCGGAAAGCTTCGTACGGAAATCTTCGGATATTTCCGTTTTTCAGACCGGAAGTTTTGGCGACCCCTAACAACGAACAATTTATTGTGGTGCCAAAATACAAGGACAAAAGCTTCAGTATGGCAGCATTTGGGGTTGAAAAACTTCACGGTAACTGGAACTATTGATAGGATGCGGTATACCGCGGTATGTAAAATATGCAATGGTAAAGTGAAATGCTCAAGCGGGACGATTAAAAGTTTTTAATTAAGCTTAATCAAACATAATGATTTTGTTCTGTTTTTTGCTATATAAATCAAGCATTACCTCGATTATGAGTAGTTTGTTTTGTTAAAAAAAAACCTTCTTGCAATATATTGCAATACATATCGCAATATATGCTTTCGCATCGCAATATATCGCAATATGAAGATTCTCTGCAATACCCACCCCATAATATGCACTATATTCCTATATATCAACGATAAGGGCACATCACTTTGTATTAAATTATTGATATTGTATGATGCTTACATATGGAACGAAAATGTACGAACTTCATGAAACCACATAATGGTTTGTTATGATAAAATCAGCTGCCTGTGTAATGTATACGTTAAATGTCACGTAACTTAAACTGCTTGAGTTAATGTAATACATTAAGATGCATTTCAATAAACCTTCACGACTCAATACGTCGAGTCGGTTACGTTAGATTACGCTGATAATGTGAATGTCTTGGTTACAATTGGCCTTCCGCAACAAATGCTTATCTTGCATAACTTACAAGATTCTCTGTAATAGTTCTATAGTGTGTAGCCCGTATCAAACCCTGCAAATACGGATCTCCCGCTACGATGACATGTCATGCACTGACACAACGTGCATCATCGCAGACACGAGGAGCGACGTTAATCCAGACACAGGAGATCATCATCATCATCATCATCATCATCATCATCATCATCATCATCATCATCATCCTTCTCCTCCTCATCATCATAAAAGCATTTATATAGCGCCAATTCCAGTCCAAAAGTACTGCTTAGTAGCGCTCTCCGAACAACTCGAGAATGAAAAGTTAGACACTGTATGTTTTCTTAAAAAGGTATGTCTTCGGGTTGTTAATTGTCCTTAACTCCAGTGGAAGTTGATTCCAGAGAGTGGGCCCTGCCACCTGAAATGATCGATCCCCAAACCTGGTACTGGACATAAAGTGTGGGACAACAAGAAGACCAAGATTTTCAGATCGGAGACTTCGGTTGGGCTGATATCTGGTGATCAGCTCTATCTGACCTGATGGGTTAGTAATTTTTATCCCCCGTCTTAATGGCACATCAGACCTGTGAAGATCCGGGGTAGAATTGTTCGTCAGTAACCAACGTTTGTCGTAAAAGGCGACTTACGGCTGGTCAAGCTCGCTGACTTGGTTGACACACGCCATCGTATCCCAAATGCATAGATCGATGCTCATGCTGTTGATCACTGGATTTTATACAGACCGCCGCCATATGACTGGAATATTGCTTGAATATTACCAACATCCAAGTTATATGAAGGCTCTGTAAATAATCGAAACTGAACCGGACAATTCAGTGATTTACACCATGAGCAACGATCTACGCATGCGCATCTGAAACAGGATGATATGCATTATCCAAGTCAGCGAGCTTGTGTACCTAACCCATCAGTCGTCTTAAACGACAAGCATGGGTTGCTGAAGACAAATACCAACATCCTCGCATGGGTAACACTAAGTTAACAGGTTGCATACTTCCAATCTTCCATGTATAACACAATAATTAAGGGATAATCCAAAATGAAGCAAACTTCAAGGTTAATATCTAAATTGTAGGTCTTAAACTGGTGTTTCAAGAACGCGCAAACTGTGTTTGACTATCATCTCCAACCACGCTGTAATTTGGCTATAATAACTGCCGTAGTCCGGATGTCGTTGATTGCCCTCTACGGCGCTGACCGCTTTGTCTGGGGCCTTGGTGTTTATTTTTCAAGTGAAGATGTATTTCGCTTTTACTTTGTGATGCTCCCCACATGCGGCGCTGTTTGAAGTACCAACCATAAACGAAAAACGGATATTTGCTCTGTTTGTGTTCAGTAGATCCAGTCTAAACCGGCAACCAGTACCCCCCGCGATAGGTCACACGAATGTGTGGCCATACGTTATTGTGGTAAACACAATTGATAAACACACAAAGTCCCCATTATCATAATTTACAAAACGTCTTTGGATTTTTCTTCAACTCGCCGTTGGCCTCGCGTTTGTTGTGTCGCATTTGTTCTCAAGTGGGGTAAGGTTTTCACAGAAAACAGAAAAGCATTTGAGAGGCATTTGAGTCGGCATGCTCAAAGTACCGGAATGTGTTGATCAATTTAGCAGCACACTCAAATAAAGACTCTTTAAGCCTCACGACACTAAAGAAACATTTGTTTTTAAATTGATTGCGTATGTTTGGAAAATGTCAAATGGGATGTGCATGGAGTAAATCATGTTTTTCTTGAAACTATCCTCGCCTCTGATAAACAAATGGATACTCATCAGAATATGTAAAACTAACGTTTCATTTTGAGGAATACTAATATCATCTGACTTTGTGGTCTTCACAAAATACGCACATTGCACTTAAAACCCGATAATTTACGTCTCGCAAGGAGGGGCATTGTTTTCCTCCAAATCCTACAACAAAGACTGATAAAAGAACACAATAAGTAGTGCCGTTGCTGGCAGATTTAAAGACTTTGGTTAGAAATTGCTAGACCCATTTAGCAAATTCAGTTTAAAAGGAACTTTGTTTTCTACGTAAACATGTGTAAAGTTGGGAGCCACGTGCTTAAATAGCAGCATTTCTCCATTTTCTGTTTCATGGCACCAGTGGCCTACATAGAACTATGTGAACGTCAGACGCATGATATTAGCCACAGAATGTGTGCCTGACTATGTCTTGAACGCGTTCTGTGGAGTTAGTTATGATTCCTAATGATGTTTATTCTAAAAACGGAAAAAGATATCTTTTTATCTTGGGATTTGTTTTTTCGGTGTTAAAGCGTTCGTTTGTTGTTGCCATGTCGAACGTCCGATTCTAATAGATCATGTGGATCTGGACTTGTGTACCGGTTCCTTATGTGACTAAATATTATTATGTATTGTGCTGAAACACATTAAACCCTCACTCACAGAAAGGTGGATACACATCGTTTTAAGTCCCAAAAAATCCTGGTTAGTTATTTCACGTTGGCATGCATGTACATGTGGGCATGCATGTACGGAGACCTCATATTGTAGGACCACACAAGGAAAGTGAGGTTTGGACGGAGAGGATCTTAAAGTTACTGTTAAAGCATGGGACTCAGAGTGTGTAACTGGGGTCGCTCGGTGGATCGGCGTCTTCCACTTTTAAGGGATCCAGTTCTATTTATTCAACACAAACATTTGGTGATCATGCATATTTTGAGGATGTTTTTTGGTAATGGCGACTAAACACGCAATGTCATAAACAATTTCAAAAATATTCATGAAAACACTTTTTCAGCATGTTATGGGCAGTGCCAGAGCCCATTGGCTACCGTGGTTGCCTCTCAGAAATGTGACCGTGTTCGAGACTTAACAAAAACGTTTCATTGTACAATCCCTGATGCTCTGGGAAAGCGTATTTTGATAAGAACCTAAATTTGGCTTACCACCACCAATACTGAAAATGGCAAACAAAGAAAGCTACGCACACCAATTAACCATGACCTACTATTGAAAAATGTCATTTCAGGCGCCGCGTTCCACGGCTCATGCATGTTTAAACTGGTTACATTGTTTGTATGCGACTCAATTATTGCGCATATTTAAAACTGGCGGACCCTAGCCAAACAACATTACTTACATACATATCCGCCATAATATAAACAAAACATAACAATTTCAAAATGTTTCCGATTCTAACTTTTTTCATGCAACCATTACGCCATAGTTGTGCAGGGTAATTATTTATCGATAAACACACACGTACAAATGTGTGAGTTAAGACCGCTCACTAACGTCCTCCAGACTGTGGTTTCCAAAGAATATATGTGAAACTGTTTTAAGAATAATTGTGGAATTGTTTTAAGAATATTTGTGAAATTGTTCTATAGACGTTAAGCGGTTTAGTCTCGTCTTCCGCTATCCGGTTGTATTGTCTGAGACGGTTTCCCTGGGATGGCCAAATTGTGGTGCTTTCTAGAACTTGTTTTCATATACATTGCCACCAACGATGTAACAATGCGCTACAAATTTCCGTAGCCTTGATAGGAAGAGGCTGGTTCATACTGAAAGCATCCCAGCGACAGGGCTGGGGAGGGGGCTGCCGGGAAGGCTGGAGGGGAAGGGGTGAGTATTAGGAGCGGGGACTCACGGCGGACAGACAAAACACCGTAAACTGGCAACACGTGTAGACAAATAACGGCAACCGCTCCCAGGTGACGCCAACAGAGATGGTCATTAATCGGTCAGCTGACAAAATGACAACATATGAACTTAATAAAAAACGTATGAAAAAAGGGGGAAAAGAAAACGCGTGCACATATTTGACCGTTGTTAGATTTTACGTTTCAATAATTCAAGTTCTTAGGAAAACAAAAGGGACAATTGAATCCTGAACCGAATGTTTACATATATTCTCTATATATAACTATATATAACTCACGAAAGGATTCATGGAGATCCTTAGGCTTGTTAGATTTAGTTTGATAGGAAACTATCAGGGGCCATTCTGCAAAGCGATTCTTGACACAGATTTTGTATAGTCATGGATATAGGGAACATATAACCTTATGTCATCAAAAATTGGGCACGCGTGACGTAGTCGTCTAAGGAGCATCCGTTCGTTTAGAAGAGTTGCGCCCCCTTGGCTCGCCAGGATCATATGATCATTGGTTCCAATCCCGATTCGGTTCGATAATGTTTCTAGTTTTGCCAGCACCATACCCGTGTGTTTAAACAAAGTAGCAATTATTTGTATTCATCATTCCGGGTTTTCCTCCCACATTTAACATACGCACCTTGCCATAATTGGAATAATCTTCAAACCCACTGTATCGTCAAGTGTTACTTTTAGGATTTAGAAACGGGATCTCCAAAAGGACCTTCTGTTTGTTGTAACTGGATCCGTGAAATATTGCCATCTCTTACTTGTCTTGAACCAAATGAACTACAGAAGTCATTACTAGCTTCTCGGATATCAGGGCCTCAACGCTTCATTGAACTAAAAGGTCTCAATTTTATTGCGGTAGCTAGCATTTCTCATCCCGGAGTCAACGAACCTTAAACCTGAACGTACTTTGTTGGCAATTATGTGAAATAGGCAATCCATGGTTCACGACGGGTTCAACTTCATTGAGATCCACATATGTCTTACAAGTACGTGTAATATACAATTCCGAATATTCCTTTTAGAATTTATACATGAATTGGCACGTCATAACTATGTTACGAATGAAATAAAAATTAAGTTTTAAAGAATCAAACCATAATTCAGAAAGAACACCCATACCTTCTCCATGCTTAAAAGCTACCTTAAGGGGATATTTCTTTTTCATTCTTGAGATGGACTTACGTGTTCATCAAAAGAAACGGAGCTACTAAGAAGCCGACGTCTCATGATCTTACGCGTGAAGCGATCTTCGCATGTTCGTAACTTTCTTACTTGAATAGTTATAACAGCAGCGCTGAGATCATTGTACGGCATATGGATCATCGTGCACAAAGCGATCGTAGGTTTACGACCACTCGTAAGTTTGTCGTAACGACGATTGTCGTAACGTTGATATCGTTTTGTGGAACAATGGCCAGGCAACAGAACAACCTGACTACTGCTACTAACGTAATTGCTATGCAGTCACACAGACTTACGATTGCCTTGGTACTAAGATCGCATTGGGGAACGAAGACCTGTTGTCTGAACCCATGACGTCACTCACCCACTTGTTGCTTCAGTCGAACATGATAGAATTGGTGAGAAGGCTGAGAATGTACTCCTGGTCAATCATTTCACAGCGGAGACCCGTGTAGCCCATCGGGCACCTGTAACAGATTGTACAAAGTCTAATTAGTTTATTGTCACTTTTGAATGTTACCAATCGGGCACCTGTAACAGATTGTAGGGGCTGAGGGTAGCCTAATGCTCAAAGCGTTCGCGCGTCACGCCGAATACCCGGGTTCGATTCCCCACATGGGTACATTGTGTGAAACACATTTCTGGTGTCCCCCGCGATGATATTGCTGGAATATTGCTATAAAAGCAGCTTAAAGCCCAACTCACTCACCTACTGTAACAGATTATACATAGTGTAATTGTTAATGTTACCAATCGGGCACATGTAACAGGCTGGAGTTATAAAAGTTTAATGATGTTATATAATGAATGTTACCAGTCGGGCACCTGTACCAGATTGGTCCCATTAGGTTTTTGTCACATTTGAATGTTACCAGTTGGGCACCTGTAACAGATTCGAGTTATATGCTATTCAAGTTTAATGCTGTTATATAATTGAATGTTACCAGTCGGGCACCTGTAACAGGTTGGTGTATTATAAGTATATCGTCATTATTTTAATGGTACCTGTTGGGCACCTGAAACAAATGGCAGTTTTATAGGTATATCGTCATGTATGAATGTTACCCACTGGGCACCTGGCACATATTGCATTAACTTATCGTCATATCTATTTATACTTACATCAGTCTGTCTTATCATGTTTGTAGGGGATAGCATTGTTTGCATGCATAGTATATATGTGTGTGATCACAGAACATCACCAGCTATATACTGTATCATATGATCCCAACAATTCGAATATATCACTAAAAGTAAACGTATCAGTTATATATAGTTTCATGTATTTGTTTCACCGGGTACCAGGAAGTGAAGGCATCTTACTACGTAAGTCTACTATGCTACAATTTGGACACCTGTAACAGGAAGCAATTCCCCCAGTTGCCCTGCTGTCTTGGAGCATACCAGACAGATATCACATATAACATTTTGTTTGATATCGGTTACAGTATGCACAGTTACCAGAAATCGCTGTGCAGAGTGAATGTGGATTCAAATCCCGATCCTGAAAATATTTGCAGGTTTACCAACATAAAGCCCATGTTCGTGAGTTTCATCGTGGTATAGGTTTACATCACTTCGTGAAGGATCAATAACATCCATACTATATGCCAATGTTACCAACAGTGTTACTACTGACAAGGGCACTCTTACTAGTCATATAAATTTCATTGCAACATTTCATATAATGTTTATTGCAACAATATATAACCAATTGTATGGATGTGAATATTTGAGAGTACAATGCACATTGCCAATACAATTCTCGTGGGAATATCTGGATAGAACTGCTCCCCAGGGCCCCGTTTCAGAAAGCTATCGTAACGCTACGACTGTCGTAAGTCTATGTTACAGTATAGGAATTACGACAGTCGTAGCGCTACGATAGCTTTGTGAAACGGGCCCCAGAACTGTACGCTGTAGGTGGCAATGCCATGGTACTCCGACGGCAATATCAATCACTGGATTGTCTGGTCTAGGCCAGATTATTCAGAGATCGATGTCACGTAGTTGTAAAATGCGACGTCAATCTACAAACAAAATAATATTCACGTAAGTAACCCTTACACGCGCGAGTGTTCATCATGCAGGATTTGAATGGGTTAACCAGGGTGAAGATTATCATTTCCTTACATGTAAATGCAAGCTTAACAAACTGTACTAATACAATAATTTCACTAACACTAAACTACGAAACAAAAGTGTGGGTTAATATTTAACGTCACCTCGGCAATATTTCAGCCTGTGTCTGTCACTTGTGTACTGTGTTGTAAGATGAATTGTGTAATTATCTGGAGAGGGCTTTTCTAAGTTGGATAACTTGTGCCCTTTTCGTGAATGAATAAAATATGTTTAAAACAAAGATTTCTACACGTTTGACAGTGGCTAAATATAAAACAAACAGGAATGACTATTCACCGGTGGATTTATTTGACACGGGTATCGTTGCTGTGATGTGGGCCACACGTTTGCAATGTTTCTCGACCGTTTTCAACCTAGTAAACGATTTTCATCATATCAAACTTGCAAGAGTGTATTGTCATCTGTGACTAGGGACTAAAGTGAAAGCGATTCGGTAACATTGTTACAATTGCATTATCTGTGTGTTAATTATGCATGTGCGTAACCAACCATGTAACAAAATGCATGGCTGTAATATTATGATTCTATACGAACGTTATAGCCAGTAAATGGAATAAGGAGTAATGACAGACACGTTAGAAAATATTGACGTAATTACCATTAGGGCGACGATACCATTGGATCCGTCATATAATGTATGCACCTGTAAGAGTAACTTCGGCTCGATATCATCGCAGAGAATAATACAGAAGAACCAGTACAACCTCAACTCTTGTCAAGTTATCAGTCATTTAAGCTCAACTCTTGTCAACCTAACAATCATTCAAGTTCAGCTCTGTAAACAGTAATCATTCGTTGGTCAAATCAACAAGGCATCCTCACAGAATGATGACCATTAGTTGTCCTCGGTGTATCCATCTATTATCTGGACTTTGTAAGATCATCTGGAGCTTCATTGGTCCAATTTACACATTTAGGGACTACAATGTATTTATTAGAAATATTCAGAAGGAAACGAATTGAAACGACCAAAATACAGCACAAATAGACCATTTGATATTGCAGGTAGGGGGAAAGGACTCCACTTTTGAATGAATGAATGAATGAATGGGTGAACGGAAAAACGATCGAACGAACGAATGAAAACCCCCTCCCTCATGCTATACAGGAGATTAGCCACCTCATAGAGAACTTGAAATGATGCGTTTGGAGTCTTCAGGTTTTGGGTAACTGTGACTTCACATCTGACTTCATCATGTTGCAGTGTGAAAGTATAGAAATATATTTTTCAAATTAGCTAATATCTCTATAGTAACCTAACAGTTATCTTTGCTGACAATGTTTCGCAACTATTTTCATGTTAAGCTATTTTGTACTATTCCGATTCATATGAATCGGTGTCAACTATTGTTGAACCCAGATGTTAAATAAGGGTGAGCGTATCACACCCGACTGCAGTGTCACAAAGGCACATCAATTGGTGTCCAAAACCAAACACGGGTTCGAATGTCAAGCCAAAGGAATTCCATCAATATCATGTTTTATTAATACACTATGTCATTTAGAAAGAGGCCAAATGTACTTTTTTATGGAAACAATATCCATTACAGAATTGTTTAGTGGTACATGTAACCGGTGATTTAGGTTACGGTTGACGTCTTGAGGATTGTGTTGGACATAAATGAAGCAATATCACAATAACAAGATCAACTAAACTACATGGTGATAACAGTTGGTTTATTGACATGGTTTATGTTTTGTTAGATTAAAATTAATTAAAATTTTGCATTCAAAACTAACATGCATGTATTACATTATTGTAAATAGGATTATGACGTCTTTACCACACTGTAATGCTTGCGGAAAGGCTATTAAAGAAACCTGTCCAAACCAAAGATTGTGGATGTGTATGTCTGTACATACACGGTGATATACACCGAGTACAGACAATGAGACTATTGCACATAGAAAAGGGAGAGTCAAGCTGAAGGATAAGACAACCCTTAAGCCATAAAGGTAACGTCTTTTATTTAGGAACATCTTACGGTATAATAGGTGGCGTGTACTAGGTTATTCAGTTATCATGAAGGGCAGTGGAATTTAAAGTCTGACAGGTAAGACATCATAGGTTGGTAATGTACTGTTGTAGTTTTTCAGACTGTCAGATAAATAGAATATCTGGATTGTAATATGGTAATTTGGTTAGACTGTCAGATAAACGACCCAACTGCATGGTATCGTAACGTGATCAGACTGTTGGGTCAAACATAAAATATTTGTATTGTATTGTGGAAACCTAATCAAACTGCCAGGTAAATTTCCCATTTGCACTGAATAGTACAGTTATCAAACTGTCAGATAAAAGATCAAACGTTTGCATTGTGTCTGTCAGGTAAGTTATCCAACATGTACACTGTAGTAACCAATAGCAATGAAGTCCACGTCACAGACAGTTTACATTCAAATGGAAACCTCATTCGACAGTCATGTAAACGTCCCATTTGCACTGCATCGTAACGTTATGAGACTCTCAAGATCCAATTATTGCGATGTATTGTGGTAACTGATGAGACTCTCAGGTAAACTTTCCATTTACATTGCATCGTATTACAAGTCCGTCAGGTAAAAGATCAAACTTTTCATTGTTTTGAGATAACATTAAAGTCTGTCAGGTAAAAGATCAAACTTTTCATTGTTTTGAGATAACATTAAAACCTGTCAGATATAAGATCAAACGTTTGCATTGTGTTGAGATAACATTAAAGTCTGTCAGGTAAAAGATCAAACTTTTCATTGTGTTGAGATAGCAGTAAAGTCTGTCAGGTAAAAGATCAAACTATTCATTGTGTTGAGATAGCATTAAAGTCTGTCAGGTAAAAGATCAAACTATTCATTGTGTTGAGATAGCATTAAAGTCTGTCAGGTAAAAGATCAAACTTTTCATTGTGTTGAGATAGCAGTAAAGTCTGTCAGGTAAAAGATCAAACTTTTCATTGTGTTGAGATAGCATTAAAGTATGTCAGGTAAAAGATCAAACTTTTCATTGTGTTGAGATAGCATTAAAGTCTGTCAGGTAAAAGATCAAACTATTCATTGTGTTGAGATAGCATTAAAGTCTGTCAGGTAAAAGATCAAACTTTTCATTGTGTTGAGATAGCATTAAAGTCTGTCAGGTAAAAGATCAAACTATTCATTGTGTTGAGATAGCATTAAAGTCTGTCAGGTAAAAGATCAAACTTTTCATTGTGTTGAGATAACATTAAAGTCTGTCAGGTAAAAGATCAAACTATTCATTGTGTCGAGATAGCATTAAAGTCTGTCAGGTAAAAGATCAAACTATTCATTGTGTTGAGATAGCATTAAAGTCTGTCAGGTAAAAGATCAA